GGTGAAACTAGCCAAACGGTTCGGCTCCGAAGGGTCCGGTGGACACAGATATGGCGACGATGATCCCCATGCCGCTGTTCTGCTCTCAAGAGCAAATACAGAGCGGTGACTCTCTCAATGAATGCTCGAATAACATAACAAAAGATTGCTGCCAACGGGTCTCTGATGCGCGTAAATTTCGCTTCAAACTTTTGTTTTTACACGCGTCAATTTCGCTCTTGACGCGCGAATGTATTCAAAGTGTTCAAGCGTATAACTAGATGCGAATTTGACATGGAATTTGTCCCTATTCACATCTGGTGTGAACGCACAGTTATTGTATGCACTGCTGTTCATAGACTACTAGCTCCAGCAGTCATTGCTGCATTTCTAAATGGTAGCAACTCACCAGGACACTACACCAACTCTCCATTCATTCTCCTCTGACCATGCATTTATTTGTCTTTGATGGCCATCGGCTCTCGGTATTTCCTCAGTCGCCCTCTCACATCTTATCGGTTCGAAATTGCATGGCTGTGGACCATCATAAATGTTAACTGTGGTTCTTGCCATCTCTTCCTCATCCCAGTTAGACGCAATAGCAGTCAGTGCTAGATTGGGCTGTCAGTTTTGAGAAAAATCAAATTCGAACGGTTATCAAATATCAAGCAATGTATTAGAATATTTTCGAATTTCTACAAGCGTTGAATTTCTAATTTCTAATACGTTTACCAGACGAGAAGCGCCGCGCCGGACAACTCCAGGTATCGCACACCGGATGCGCACTTTCTCATCAGTGTATGGACAGCAATATTGTTATGTTTAATGACATGAAATGAAGATAATGTCTGATCTATGTTATGATTGTACTGTACAATTAAATACGTTGCTGAGTCTGTAGTCTAAAAAAAACTTTACCTCAGATCATCCGTTAACTGAATGAATTGAGAATCTCACTTGAAAAATCAAATAACATCAGCAATTGTCATTCAAGCAGCTGATTTCTGTAAATGAATGCAAAACTAAATGTATATTGCAGCATAGTGAGAAGTCAGGATCCATTAGCAACGAATAGCAAAAATTTTATATAAAACTATGTAAATGGCGCTCTGTGGCGCAACAGGATTTTGAACACAGTCCTGAGGCGTTGCTGGGCGCCACGGACAGGCGTCGAATGGCGCCGCCGGTGTGTGTAACGTTACACTCATGGAGAATAATGTGTTCGAATTTTAAAGATGTGGCGCGACACGGCACTGAGCTTCTCGTCCGGTGTGCGACCCCCTTTAGAGCGCCTGGTCATGGATGAGATGGCAAACAATAAAATTTAAAAAAATGTAAAAACGGTCTAATCATAGACTGTAAAAAATGCGCTAAACATGGCACTTTAAAAATCTGATAGTTTATTTATAGTTCCAATACGGATATTTCACGCCATTTTCGAATGCATATTCAAATATTGAATAAAAAGTGACAGCCCTAGTGCTAGAACTAGTTCTAGTAGCTGAGAACGGCTGAGGCTACATTCCACCGCGTCTACCTCATTGCCGAATTGCGTAAAAAATAACCGTTACTAACCAAAAACTACAAAAACGGGACTTTAACACCATTTTGGAGACATTTCTAACTTTATGTACATATTTTGGCTGCTTTATGTACCCATAAATGTGTATATGTTGGTTATATGTCTATTCAGAATGACTTACGAGCAGCAACCTTTTTAATTTGGGTATGTCATGTATGCATCACTTCCCAAAATTGGGGCCGATTAGTAAAGGGTTAATTGACAGTGGTGTTTAACCTGCACCATGGGCTTTAAATTTGAATAAAAAAAACAAATGGTTTCAAGTTTGTTACAAACATATCAAATAACCAGTGAAATCATGCTCAAATGCCACATAACACAAAATAACACAATGATGGCCTTGTCACAGCAGAGACTAGCAATGCTATACGGGATATTGAGGCTATGTTTACACGGAAACGATTGTGAGGAGAAAACGCAAAAGTGGCGTTGTGTCATCACTTTTTATTCTGTGTTTAGACGAGCGTTTTGTGTGGGAAATCCGTGTGCAGATGGAGACGCAAAAGTGTGTGAAATTCAATGTAGTAGGCACTTCAGGCGGCTAGGAGTGCATACTACAACAATATCAAGTCCACGCGCCTGCGTACAACCTTCACTGTCAAGCAGACTTTTGCGTTTTTACCGTTTACACGGGAGCGCGGCGGTGGAGCGTTTTTAAGATTTCCACTCTGGAGGGTGATTTCAGTTTTTTGCATTTTTAAGCCCCCAAAACACCGTCACCGTGTAAACGAAAGGCACCTCCGATAAAATATTTTTACGTTTTCACCCGCGAGCATTCTCGTGTAAACAGGGGCTAAAGGTCCCCTGACATGTTTTTTTTTTATTATTATTTTATGTTTCCTGGGTTGCCCTTATAATGTTAGTATGTTTTTTTTAGATCAAAAATAGTCATAATTTAGAAATAAAAGGCATTTTTCCTAGCCTGATTTTAGCCTCTGCTTAGAACGCTCTGTTTGAAGGGGCGTGTCTTCTGTGGGATTCAATGTAACCACCCACTGCTGTGATTGGCTGACATGCTTGCGTATGAAATAGCTACATATTACACTTGAAACTCTCTTGAATACATTTTACTACAGCTATTATACTGTACGTTTTTACTATTACAGATATTGAGATTACTGAATAGGCGTAATTTGCGGGTGGGACATGTCCCCACCACTTTTAGCCAGGGTCGATATTGTCCCCACCACTTTTGAAACATCTCTTGCGGCAGGGATGTAAATTATACAAATAAATAAATCATCTCTAGTTAACTAGCAGAGCATTCATTTAGTTTGTTTCTTTAAATAAGAGGCGATCTAGCACTGAAATGTTTTGAAAACAAGTGATCAAAGTGCTCGTTGCCGCTGCGATCAGTGGCGTGGATACAGTTCTCTTGTGGCTCGCACTGTCGCACACAGTCTTCACACAGACTCGCGCTTTAATCCGTTGTGGAGACTCTATATTCGATCCGGTGAAATCACAAAGTAAAATGTACACAAGCATACAACTGATAAACATAATCGGTTTTAATCAGAGAGAGAAAAAAATGATACGAGTGCGGATTAGAACCCAGAACCTCCGTCACGCTTGACAAAAATTCTGCCACTGGACTAATGAAATACTAATAAGCCAACTGTCTATTTCTGCAGATATATTAGTCTATATTCGTCATTCAAAAAGGAAAACCGATGCTGCCGACTGCCGATACACATAATATAACGTAAACAAAGAAGCGCGTGCTTACCGTTTTGAATATCAATCCTGCTAAACACTTTCTTTAAATAACATTATTTTCATCCAACTCAAAGAAACGACATTAAGTTGATAATAGTCTGGCTTGACTTACTGATGCATTTTAGTATCGAACGATTTTGAGAGAAAAATTAACTTACCTCTCCTGCCCGTTTGGACCATACAAAACTTTGGGAGCAAGTTAGAGTCGGCGCATTTCCAGAGAAAATAAAATTAACCCATTGTTTCTTCAGAGGGTCGGATGAAGGAACTAAAAAATAATTTTGTGTTCATTTGTACATCCGAACACTGCGCAACTGCCATGCTTCTTCGTTTGCAAGCCAAGATATTAAGGAAAAAATAAAACCGCGCCTGCGCACGTTCGTACTTCCTGTTCCTAACTCGTTTTCTCATCGTCGGGGCAAATTCTCCCATATTCTCCGGGCGTGCAAAGCAGAGAAAGGGGAGTAACCTTTCCCCATATGACGTTATATAGGGGGAGATTCTAGATCAGCGCGTCTGAGATGCAGACGGATGCAGAGAAGAGAAAAATAGCCAAAGCTCGGTTTACACCGATTGAAAATTCTAGACACGAGGGGACCAAATACAGTCTAGGGGAACTCATATTAATGTTAAAAAACCTCAAAAAATGAAAATTTCATGTCAGGGGACATGATACTGACTTAACAAATGCATTCCCGAAAAAGTCAGGCTTACAAGTTACATGGATTTTAAAACATACAATTAAATTATGTGGAAAAAAGGGTTACACTTTAATTTACGACCCGCAAACAAAAATTATGGTGTACTTTTCTGTGATGTACTTTTCTATAGTGTACCTCTGTGGTATAAGGGAACAATATGTTAAGTTTTGGGTAATAAAGGGGTAACAAGCAGATATACTAGCAAATTATTTATAATGTAATTATTTTCAAACTAACAGGTACCTATTTTGTTAATATATTCCAGGCAAAAATTGTACGTTTGTTGTATGTATGTATATATATATATATATATATATATATATATATATATATATATATATATATATACACACACACACATTTAATTTTCAACCCACAGATGTCAAAATTACCCTGTAACTATATTGCACAAGAACATATTTTGCCAGAAATGTGATAAAAAACTTTTATATACAACAGACGTACAATTTTTGCCTGGAATATATTAACAGATTAAGTACCTGTTAGTTTAAAAATAATTACATTTTAAATAATTTGTATATCTGCTTGTTACCCATGTATTACCCAAAACTTAACATATTGTTCCCTTATACCTACATGGAGGTACACTAATTACAGAAACATCTACAACGTAATTTCGGTTTACTTACAAAGTTATTTGCAGGTTGTATCTGCTTGTTACCCCTTTATTACCCAAAACTTAACATATTGTTCCCTAATACCTACACGGAAGTACACTATAATTACAGAAATGTACACTGTAATTTCGGTTTACTTACGCAGGTGTTTCCGGGTTTAAAAAAAAGTTATAAAACAATTATAATTTACCTGGTTGGTATAATTACAGCCTATACAAGTCATTTGTTTTTTGCTTTTTAAAAAATCTCCTTGGTATTATTAGCTATGGGAATCTGCGATTTATCATTTGAATCAATCCTTTATATTAGAATTTTTTGAATAGTTTTTCTGTATGTGAATTGCGTTTTCGTGTGAACGGGACTTTTATTTTGGTATGGCGGTATGACGTCATAAGACTGCACCGCTCCTGCGTCTGCGATTCTGCTGAAGAAAGGTTTGTGTTTTTAATCATGTAGAGTGTTTAAATCAATATAACACGTCCAGACAATAACACAGATAACTGTGAAGCTCCCTATATTGTGAATCAGTTCGTTATAAACACGCTGTTTGCTCTCTGACGACTAATAGGCTCGTTTGAGATGAGCAGAATCTGCCCAGAACCGATCGTCTCGATGCATTGCCGACATGTTCGCTTCACTTAGTTTTAGTCACTTATTGTGATAATATGTCATGGATAAGTCTGCTATCAATAAATGTTAAAAGAATATGCCATGTAAAATATTTGTATCTATCCAATCCAACAGTCTTTTAAATGCATTCACTGGCTCTTTCATATTTAATATTATTATTATTGCTTAAATTTATGTATTGTGTGTATTTACTTTATTTTCATCTTCATTCACTGTACCTCTTTACCTAATTTGCTTTCTGTATATTATATTATTTAAAGTATACATTTTGTCAATACTGTAAATGTCCTATCATGCTTAAAGTTGTGACACTGTATTTCCGTAGTAGACTACAGCATAGCCTATAGTGATGATAAATAAGCGTCTGTTTTTATATGTAGCTTTAATTATTATTAATGGGTGTTAAAAGAACACCAAAGCTACATATATATATATATATATATATATATATATATATATATATATATATATATATATATATATATATAGTATATTTTCTCTCTTTTCCCAGTTAACGTTGTGTAAACAACCTACTTACACCCATATGGCCTATGTTTTGTCTATACAGTGCAGTGGCAGTGAAGCTTTCAGTAAATGACTTTATTTCTGTAGGCGCTCAGGAATGTCACTGGAAGTACACTTTATGGGAATTTACCATATTAGGCTATATATTTTATTTAGGTTGTTTATACATTTAACTCATGGCAATGAGAAAAATATATCACATATCATTTATATATCATCCTGCATATTATCACGTTCCCACAAGTTAAAATGTTGTGGTCATGTTTCACTTATCAGTGTAGAAATGTCTTAGTTTTTTTCTTTCTGTTAATTATTCTCCTCTTAAACAGGCCAGTGTCCAAACACAAAGAAAAACTCCTGGTGAAGCATGTGACTCACTATTATAAAGATGGCGTTTATTAAAGAGGAGAGTGAAGACCTGAGGATTGAAGAAACATTCAGTGTCAAACATGAAGAAACTGTGGAACAAACAAAGATGGCGTTGGTCAAAGAGGAGAGTGAAAACGTGAAGATTGAAGAAACATTCAGTGTCAAACATGAAGATACTGAGACCCAAACAAAGATGGCGTTGATTAAAGAGGAGAGTGAAAACGTTAAGATTGAAGAAACATTCAGTGTCAAACATGAAGATACTGAGACCCAAACAAAGATGGCGTTGATTAAAGAGGAGAGTGAAAACGTTAAGATTGAAGAAACATTCAGTGTCAAACATGAAGATACTGAGACCCAAACAAAGATGGCGTTGATTAAAGAGGAGAGTGAAAACGTTAAGATTGAAGAAACATTCTGTGTCAAACATGAAGAAACTGAGGAACAAAGAAAGATGGCGTTTATTAAAGAGGAGAGTGAAGACCTGAAGATTGAAGAAACATTCAGTGTCAAACATGAAGATATTGAGACACAAACAGGTCAGTTTCATTCTCAAAGTCTTTCTTTAGTCATTCTCACTGTTTCAGACGGACCCTTTACAAGCAGCGAGGGTAAATCAAACAGCAGTGCTCTGTTGTTACGTTACAGGGAAGGTGGATGCTGCCGAATTATGGCGTTATTTTCCTGTCAAATGTCGAGACCGCACTATTGTAGCGTGAAAGTAAATTAGTATAATCAAATATTCTGAGATTCTGCAGAAGGTACATTCGAATGTTTTCACCCGTCTTTGAGGTGCTTGGGTCAAAAGGGACAGCAAAAAGCACTCTTGAATGTAGTTCAGATTGCTCATTAACGTAATGGATGGTTGCCGACAAAAAAGACGTTTTACGATAAGTTTCTGTCCATATGTCTGTTGTAATTGCACATCCGAATTTGTTTATTACTGCAGTGATTTCGTCGACAACATGTTTACGCAGACTCTGAGCCCTCTTTTCAATATTTCTTGATAATGTTGTTGGATGTGGAAGTATCTCACTGACATTAAACTTTCCGATTTTTGCTGCTGTGTCGACCAAATGCTGGGCCAGCTGATTGAAACCTTTTCCGGACACAGTATCATATGGTCGAATGTCTTGGCAAACAAATTCAACACATTTTTCGGTGGTCTCTTTTTTAAACTGCTCTGGCACCGGCCTAGACTTTGTAAATTTCAGTTTAGTTTGACCCTTTGTGATGATGCACGAGTGCCGCCTTAAACCCGACGTTCCAGTCTTGTGACTACTGAACGGGAACACTTTTCGGCATTTATCACATTGCGCAAAGGATATTTTTTTTTCCATCTGTGTCTATGATGCATGAAAAATTCTCCCATACATCAGACTTGCCTGACGTGGGTTTCTTGGCAGTAAACTGACCATTTTCCAGTCCAATTTGAACATCCTTCAAGGACAGCGCATCCACACTTTGCTCTGCCATCCTTTTTGAGGGCTGTATTTTACCACCGGTGCAGTCTGCCCTGAGGACCGTTATGCAGTGCGCGCGCCGCACAGACCCCACAATGCATAACTGGCAGTAGATCTCATTTTACGACCAATTAAACCCAACGTACTATTTAACCCCCCCACCCATCACATTTTTGGTCAGACATCATCACATCTTTCTAAATATTTTTATTTATTTACATAAGTAGGCCCATATAAATTGTCTCTGGTAGGCCTAAACTACAGGAAATCGTCTTTCAAAACACGACCTGCGTGAAAGAGAAAAAAAAAATCAATGTGTCATTGTACCCAGCACTTTTGAAAATGCATTTCCGAATGTGTCTCTGTCCCCAGCACATTTCAAATCAAACTGATGCCCATGGTTGGGGGCTATCGAAATGGATAACCCCCCCCCTTACCTCGGTCAACCTGACAGGTTTCAGCAGAGAAGCATATAAAGTGCGAGAAACATGAGCTCCACGGGAGCTACCAGTGACGAAAGTGAGTGCTAAAATAAAAAGTCTCTCAACTCAGGAAAAACTGACTTTCCTGCCCTCTCAGCCATTATACTGGGCTCGTAGCGCGCGAGCGTTGTGGGTGTTGTGGCTTCACAAATGCTTTGCTGCATACCTCGGTTGTAACGAGTGGTTATTTCAGTCAAAGCTGCTCTTCTATCAGCTTGAATCAGTCGGCCCATTCTCCTCTGACCTATAGCATCAACAAGGCATTTTCGCCCACAGGACTGCCATCGCATACTGGATGTTTTTCCCTTTTCACTCCATTCTTTGTAAACCCCAGAAATGGTTGTGCGTGAAAATCCCAGTAACTGAGCAGATTGTGAAATACTCAGACCGACTCATCTGGCACCAATAACTGGTGGAGTTCTGGAGATTGTCTTGACCAGGACCACACTTGACCAGGACCCTAAATGCATTGAAGCAACTGGCATATGATTGGTTGTTTAGATAATTGCATTAATGAGAAATTGAACAGGTGTTCCTAATAATCCTTTAGGTGAGTGTATATTAGTAAATCAATAAAAATTAAAGTACTAATAAATCTCATTACTGGTAGGTCATTTGTTAGCTGCCTGTGGAGGGTTTTCTGAAGACAGTTTTGTGCAAATTCAGCCTAGGGAAGGAAGTGGCTTGAGTCTGATTGATTCTGTTGGCAGCACATGCTCAGAAATCTTGTGAGTCCTTGGTTTAAACATTCAGTTTGGCCATTAGACTGTGGGTGCTACCCTGAAGTTCACATTGAGCTGACGGAAGAAGGCTGTCCAAACCTGGGACATGAACTGGGAACCTCGATCAGAGACGATATCTTCTGGTAATCCATAAAAGCGACATGGTGAAAAAGCTGTCTCAAACGCTGTCGAGAGCTTAGCTAAATCAATGACTGTGAGTATAGTAGTGTTACATTGGGGGGCCGGGAGATCAGTAACAAAAATCAACAGCAATATGTGACCTGATCCCGGCACTCTTTCCTCCCCCAGGGAGTTCAAAAACTTCTCATAATCTCTGAATAAATTAATTAGGGCTGGGCAAAAAAATCGATTTTTTGATTAATCGTTTTTTAAAATGTGGTCGATTCAAAATCGATTCTCAACGGCAACGAATCGATTTTTTTTCCATATAAAGGGCTCGCGGACGCGGTGCTGCATCTTCTCGTCTCTCTGCACTAGGCAAGCGCCAAGCGCTGCAGCTGTCGATACACACGTACGCGTTTAGGAGTCGGGACACGACGGAATATTCACTTGCACAATCGGGCCAGCATTGCATCGTGACCTATGATCGTAACTAACATTTATCATTCATTTGCTCAAGCAATGTTAAATCATCCCGTGCTCGCGCACTCTCAGAGATTTCTTTCACTGCGTGCACAGCCTAAATCCGCCTCACAAACAGCTCGCCAGAAACAAAAGTTTTATCCCTGGATTATATCACTTTAACAGTTAAAACACGCAACATTATGTCAAAACTCTGGTCTTGGTGAGTAACCTCGTAAAGACAGTCGGTAATGTCTTAAATTAGCATTAAACGCGTGTGACAGAGAGTTAATGAAACAGTAATGGATTCGCGCACTAGTTCTTAAAGTGAACGCAGCCATTTGTGTCAGTCATTAATTCTGTTGTCATAACAACAGAATATAGTATTAATTGTAAGCAATCAGAATTAATAGCCTTTGTATTCAATTCAGTCTGGATTCATACCCAAAAAACTACCTCAAAATGTCTCTTAATTTTTGTCTTTATTCTATTGTATTTATTTGTGCTACTTTTTTCAATTTAATTCAAAGATTGAAATCAAGCATCCATACATAAACTCTTAACAAAAAAAATACATTAACATTTAGGTAAGATCAATGTAAAAAATCTAAATATTTATATATTTATCTATCTTAAACCTAAAATAACATGATACTGTTTGATCAAGCTGTGCGACTGTTCTGTGCGACTGTGCGACTCTTTTTTGCATATTGCATCAAAATCTTTGTATGCATTTAGTGTACCTAAAATAAAAAGAGTTTTATATACAGGTTTATGGCTCTTAATTTTCTTGTATTAATTAACCACTAGTAAACTTATGTCCACTGTTCTTTTTTATAAATGATAAATATAGGATTATTATTACATCTTCATTATAGTTGAATCGAGAATCAAATCAGGAATCGAGAATCGAAAATCGAATCGAGAATCGAATCGAACTGAGAGCTTGCGAATCGAAATCGAATCGAAATTGAAATGTGAATCGATACCCAGCCCTAGGTGAGACATAGGCCCTGATTAGACCAGACTGCAGTTTCCCAATCCAGAGCTTTTCCGGTTAAAGGGGACATATCATGAAAATCAGACTTTTTCTGTTTAAGTGCTATAATCGGGTCCGGGTGCATCTAACAATCCAGAAAACCGCGAAAAGTGATAACCCAGTAGTGACTCTTGTTTTGTAAGCCTTTCTCTGCAAGCATGTCAAAAATGCCACAGATTTCACTCCCCTTCTAAAGTGAGAAGAGGATCTTATTAAAATATTATCGCCCTTAATATGCACATTTGCACCCATGCCACCGCCATTTGATTTTCACAAGCGACAACAGTGTAACCAGTCTAACCTGCAGGATCCTAACAGAAATGTGTGCAGTGCTCTACTGTGGGTTTTTATGAGGGGGTAGTGTCCTAAAGAGAGGTTAAGAATTAACAGTATTAATAAAAGGCTCTGACAATACAGATTACAACTTTACTCAATTGTTTAGTGGTCATAGGATCTAGAATATGTGTTGTTAGATTTAATGTTTAGATATCTAAATGTTTTTTTAAGTCAGTTACTTTGTGCTACTAAACCAGTGTTAACTCGTTTTGTTTCTTTTTACCCTAGACCCGATGGATCTGAAAGAAGAGAGTCAAGAACTTAATGAAGTGGAAGAGAAATGTCATGAAACAAAAAATAAAAATCTCCAGATAAAAGTGCACACTGGAGAGAAGCCTTTGACCTGCAAACAGTGTGGAAAGACTTTCAAGCGAAAAGACAACCTTAAAATCCACTTAAAAATCCATACTGGAGAGAAGCCGTTCACCTGCAAAAAGTGTGGGAAGAGTTTCTTACTTAAAGGAAATCTTAAGACTCACATGATAGTTCACACTAGAGAGAAGCCATTCACATGCTCTCAGTGTGGAAGGAGTTTTACACAGAAAAAATCCCTTACAGTCCACATGCGAATTCACACTAGAGAGAAGCCTTTTACCTGCAAACAGTGTGGGAAGAGTTTCTCACTAAAAGGAAATCTTAAAACTCACATGCGAATTCACACAGGAGAGAAGCCATTCACATGCTCTCAGTGTGAAAATAGTTTTAAGCATAAAAGAGAACTTAATGCCCACATGAGAAATCACTCTGGGAAGAAGCCATACACTTGCAAACAGTGTGGGAAGATTTTTTCACTAAAAGGAACTCTTAAAATACATAAGCGAATTCACACTGGAGAGAAGCCATTCATATGCTCTCAGTGTGGACAGAGTTTTAAACAGAAAAGAGAACTTAATGCCCACATGAAAGTACACACTGGAGAGAAGCCTTACACCTGCAAACTGTGTGGGAAGAGCTTCACACTAAAAGAAAGGTTTAAGACTCATATGACGATTCACACTGGAGAGAAGCCGTTTGTTTGTGATCAGTGTGGAAAGAGTTTCAGACGTAGAGCACACCTTAATCACCACATGAAGATTCACTCAGGAGAGACGTGTTTTATATGTCATCAGTGCGAAAGGAGTTTCTCAGACAGGAATCACCTTGAGAATCATGTAAAAATTCACATCGGGGAGAAACCTTACATGTGTCATCAATGTGGAAAGAGTTTAACAAACAAAGCAAACCTCGAGGATCACATGAGAGTTCACACTGGAGAAAAGCCTTTCACCTGTCCTCAGTGTGGAAAGAGTTTTACGATTAAAGGAGACCTTAATATACACATGAGAGTTCACATTGGAGAGAAGCCGTACAAGTGTTTTCAGTGTGAGAAGAGTTTCACAGACAGGAATCAGCTTAAGGATCATATAAAAATACATATCGGAGAGAAGACTTTCATGTGCAATGAGTGTGGAAAGAGTTTCACATACAGAGCACACCTTGAGTATCACATGAGAATTCACACTGGAGAAAAGCCTTTCACCTGTCCTCAGTGTGGAAGGAGCTTCACGGTGAAAGGAAACCTTAAGCTGCACATGAGAGTTCACACTGGAGAGAAGCCGTACAAGTGTCTTCGGTGTGAGAAGAGTTTCACAATTAAAGGAAACCTTAATATTCACATGAGAGTCCACACTGGAGAGAAGCCGTACAAGTGTCGTCAGTGTGACATGAGTTTCCCGTATCACATAAGCCTGAAACAGCATTTACAAACTCATTGTGGAAAGAAAATGACGTTTCCTCAGTGTGACGAGGTTATAAAACAGGAGCAATATTAATTAAAGCTGCAAGCAGCGATGGGCGGGCCCTCGCACCTGTAGCGCATCGGGGTGTGAGGCGGCCGCGTTGCATATTCTGCAGCTCAGCCAGTGCGGCTGTGCATTTGCTACGCTGCTTAATTAAAGGTCACTTCCTGTCGTAAGCAGGTGGCACTATGACTTGGGTGAATGTCAGCATGTAGATTTGTTCAGGGCGGGACTCTTGTCAAATGTGTACAATTTGGTGCAGATCTGGGCATTTACAGCCAAGTTACTACAACTTCCTGTTTCATGGCGAATTATTGAGGCCACGGACTCGCCCAGTGACGAAAATGCACAGATAGCACAACTTTTCATCGTCAATGCCTTTAGAAGGCACAGCAGAAATGAGAAGTCGATCCGACTAAATTCCTAGGAGGAGTTTGTTAAAGTATGTAATGAGTAAATCATCCAAAAATGGCGGTAAAATTAGAAATGTCCGACTTCCTGTTGAGTTTAGGGCATCGCTTCAAGAGACTTTTCTGTGCGTCTGGACATGGTAGATGTACCACAGAAATTTCGTACATATTGGTCAAACATGTGGCGGGGGCTGCTTCGTTAAAGGTCACTTCCTGTTTCCAGCAGTTGGCGCTATGACTGTGGATAAATGTCGGCATGTAGATTTGTTCAGGGCGGGACTCTTGTCAAATGTGTTAAATTTCGTTCAGATCTGGGCATTTACATCCAAGTTATTACAACTTCCTGTTTCATAGCGAATCATCAACGCCACGGACACGCCCATCGACGAAAATGCGTAAATAGCACAATTTAACATCATCAATGCCTTTAGAAGGCACAGCAGAAATTTGAAGTCGATCCGACTAAATCCCTAGGAGGAGTTAGTTAGAGTACGTAATGAGTAAATCATCCAAAAATGGCGGTAAAATTAGAAATGGCTGATTTCCTGTTGAGTTTAGGGCATCGCTCCACGAGACTTTTCTGTGCGTCTGGATATGTTAGTTGTACCACAAAAATTTCGTACATGTCGGTCAAACATGCGGCGGGGGCTGCTTCGTTAAAGGTCACTTCCTGTTGCCACTAGGTGGCGCTATGACTGTGGGTGAATGTCGGCATGTAGATTTGTTCAGGACGGGACTCTTGTCAAATATGTAAAATTTCGTGCAGATCTGGGCATTTACAGCCAAGTTACAACAACTTCCTGTTTCATGGCGAATCATCGACGCCACGGACACGCCCATGGACGAAAACGCACAGATAGCACAACTTTACATCGTCAATGCCTTTAGAAGGCACAGCAGAAATGTGATGTCGATCCGACTAAAGCCCTAGGAGGAGTTAGTTAAAGTACGTAATGAGTAAATCATCCAAAAATGGCGGTAAAATTAGAAATGGCTGACTTCCTTTTGAGTTTAGGGCATCGCTCCAAGAGACTTTTCTGTGCGTCTGGACATGGTAGATGTACCACAGAATTTTCGTACATGTCGGTCAAACATGCGACGGGGGCTGCTTCGTTAAAAGTCACTTCCTCTTGCCACTAGGTGGCGCTATGAATGTGGGTGAATGTAGGCATGTAGATTTGTTCAGGGCGGGACTCTTGTCAAATGTGTAAAATTTCGTGTAGATCTGGGCATTTACAGCTAAGTTACTACAACTTCCTGTTTCATGGCGAATCATCTACGCCACGGACACGCCCATCGACGAAAACGCGCAGATAGCACAACTTTACATCGTCAATGCCTTTAGAAGGTACAGCAGAAATTTGAAGTTGATCCGACTAAATCCCTAGGAGGAGTTCGTTAAAGTACGGAGTGTGTAAATCGTCCCAAATCGGTCGCCAAATTCAAAAATGGCGGACTTCCTGTCGAGTTTAGGGTATGGGTTCTTGAGGCTTTTTTGTGCGTCTGGTCATGGTAGATGTACCACAGAAATTTCGTACATGTCGGTCAAACAAGCGGCGGGGGCTGCCTCGTTAAAGGTCACTTCCTGTTGCCAGCAGGTGGCGCTATGACTGTGGGTGAATGTCGGCATGTAGATTTGTTCAGGGCGGGACTCTTGTCAAATGTGTAAAATTTCGTGCAGATCTGGGCATTTACAGCCAAGTTACTACAACTTCCTGTTTCATGGCGAATCTTCGACGCCACGGACACGCCCATCGACGAAAACGCGCAGATAGCACAACTTTACATCGTCAATGCCTTTAGAAGGCATAGCAGAAATTTCAAGTCGATCCGACAAAATCCCTAGGAGGAGTTCGTTAAAGTACGGAGTCTGTAAATCGTCCAAAAATGGCCGCCAAATTCAAAATGGCGGACCTCCTGTCGAGTTTAGGGTATGGGTTCTTGAGGCTTTTTTGTGCGTCTTGATATGATACACGTCCCCACCAAATTTCGTGCATGTAGGTTGAACGTGGACGAGGGGCTAATTTTTTCCAATTTTCTAGGTGGCGCTAGCGTGCCATTTTGCCCCGCCCATCCGCGAAACCCACAAAATACGAAATTTTTCACCAGTCCTGACATGCGTGCCAAATTTGGTGACTTTTTGAGCATGTTGCGGCCCCGAAAATGGCACTTACTTTGCAGAAAAAAGAAAAAAATAAAAAATAAAAAAAAAAAAAAAATAATCCTAACAGTTTCAATAGGGTCCTCGCACTGTTAGTGCTCGGGCCCTAATAATAATCTGCACATTCACTCTGGAGAAAGACATTTCAATAGAGGGAATGCATTGACACGTGACTTTCCCGCCGGAACAACCCTCAGCCTGACCGAGTGGCAAAAGATCTGCTGCGTGACTAGATTTAATAGGGGAAACTGCGGAAATGCGACTAAATCGAACAATTTTATCAATTTAATGTTGGACTCAATATAGTGTTCCTTACAACTTACTAAAGATCCACTAAAGATGTAAGTTCCTTACTAAAGATATTGACATGCAGCCAGGAATCATGTTGCCTGACATTTATGTTTGCCTGATTTCGACACCGGGGAAATAAAAGCAATATAGACCTAAACATAAAGCAAATTTGCCTGTGAACGCTTTATATAAATATATAGGTAGGTCTAAATCCGGGTGATCTTTTATGTCAGTGTTATATATAGCATATATATATATATATCATATCGTCCAGCCAAGTTTTTTTGGTCAGTGTTTATTAAAGAAACATCCAATAATGCAGAATATGCAATGATAAATATTGAATTGATGAGTTGTTAATGTATATAACAATACAAAATATATGGGTATGGTTTTACAGCAAAATTCAGCATATTGACACAAAATGATAACTGCAAATCCACCTTTGGCTGACTGGAGTCCAGCTGTTTCTGTGAATTGCAGCGATCCATTTGCTCCTCTTTCTATAGCATTCTGTAAAAATATACCTCCGACGTTTTGTCAAATCTAGTTGTAGGCCTACAGTCAATCGCAAAGCTCTTTCCCACTTTATTTGTGTGTGTTGTGTTTGTTTTTCGCGGCATTCACGCTGAACACATATACAGCCGCTCAGTCTTTTTGCCACTCACTGTGAGGAACTGCAGGCACTCCGGTCGACGGTGACGTCATGCGCATTCCCTCTATTGTGATCACTGCAATGAAAACATACTCACAAATACATATGAAAAGTCATGTAAACGTGAGACCCTGTTTGTGTTCGTTGTTAAAGAGTACGGCAGTAGAAAATATAAATCTGTTGGAAATCACACTGCCCCTTTTAACAAGGTGAATTAGAAAACGGGTGGTTCTTAATGATGGTTAAATTGACTCTTTCCATAGTTTCATTCCCCTGTTTCTTTTTCGGTTTCTTTCACTTTCCATTTTACCTGTGTATATGAGTGATTTGTATGTATGATTTTGTTTAGACTAGTTATGTGTTTGTGATTTAGTTAATAAAACTGATACACAATACATGTGAGTATTTTATTCTGATGTAATGTTTGCAAATCAGTCCCTTTAACAATTCCTGATCTTGCTACATGTTGTAGTAGTACTCTACACAGTAAGAACGTTAATTTCAGTGGCTATGAAAATAACCTTTCTGAGAATTGATAGACAATACTGAAGGTTCGCTGGTCCAGGTTATTTGATTGTAACCTTGTAATAATTGATTGTAATATCAATTCTGCATATAGCTAACTTTTATTATTATTTCTCATAAATCTTAAGTAATATTTACCTCCAGTTATAAAGTTTTCAAAATAGGTTGGGTCTGGATAAATTGTTTAAAGAATTCTGAAATAATTAATATATAGTTTATTCTTGAAGTAATACATGTTTATTTTCTTAGCCTCCCTGGTTTGATGGTCTGTAATGTGGAGTGTGGCTAGACAAAGACATTTGTGCTTTTTTCAGCTGCTCATAAACATTTTAATGGCACAGGTGAAATTACACTATATTTAGCACAAACAGGGCTACCATAATATGTGAGCCACATGTATGTACAGTTTTGGATATTTGAGAGAATATTGTTTATGCGATATTAAAAAAACTTAAAATGAAAGTTTCTGAAATAAGGCCACAAAACACATACGAAATGTGTTGCCTAGAGTTTTTTTTTCACAATGATCTGAAAATCATCCTCCTAATCCTTCACAGAAAATTGTGAATTGGGTTATATTGTGAAAAACATTTTTTGTTTGCCAAGGCAATATGTGAATGGGCGTGAACAGGCTAGCCCTCATCATGAATAATTAGGGATTCTCACCTGAGAGACAAATAGCACTGGTCTCAAACTCAGTTCCTGGAGGGCCACAGCTCAACACAGTTTTGTACCAACCGAATTTAACACAATAAACACTGGCTATCATCCCCAGTCGATTGGGCTATCAGGGATGAAGATACAGGATATTAGGAGCTTCCTGAGAATCCTCTGCCATGGCCACCAGAAACTCTTACAACCAATTCCTAGGCTGGTCTTAGTATGTGCAGATCCCCCTTCTGTCAGCCTGCCACTAATTCCCTTTTAGTGTGTGCTCGGCTACCAGCCTCCACTGTTCCTGTGGTCCAGGGAAACATGGGATGTCCCATTAGCTGTTCATCAGTACCTGCAGAGTGCAGTGCTCAGACAAAGAACCCAAGCTGATGTCTGGAGAGTTGAAACGCCCACATATCAACCATGACAAAAGGTTTGGCTATCCACTCATGACATCAAAATGCACCTGGTCCTGTAATAAGTTAAATTTGAAACTCTGATACTTTCTCTTTGAGTCCCTCATATTTTGCGGTTAGTGCATGCATGATTGTGTGGCGTGCTGGCACTGTATATCCAGGTTCCAAAACTTTTAACAAGTTCTTAAAACCTTGGCCCTCCACAACAGCAATGGGCCTCATATCCTGAGCAATAAAGTTCACAATTCCTTCCATTGTATTAATTTTCCGTTAGAAAGGATGATAAAGGAAGCTTAAAATCCAGCGTGCTCTGGGTGTGTCTGTAAACAATTCCATTCCGCCACCTTTAGGGGCGCTGTTCTAGCAAACGATGCAGTGGGTCGTGTTTGAGGAAAGGTGCAAACCACCATTAAGATCGTATAAGTTGGAGGACTTGTTGAAGTAATCTACTAAAAAAGCACAGAAAACATGCAAACAATTTAAACATTTTATTTTTTTAATTGGGCTTTCACATGCACCAATCAAGTTTAAACTGCTTTCTTCACTTTAAGTCTCCTATCCATTTGAGTATTTGTAACAGAATGTTTAAGAGACATTTAGCTAACAAAATCTTGGCTCTTGAGAAAACCGATCCCCAAGCAATGCTTGTAAAACTTTGACCCATTTTTTAATTAAGCCATTTTAACACTCCCCTTTTGGAAATTTGTAAGGTAAATGATGGCCTGACAGAAAAAAAAATGAAATTTATAAATAAGCATGAATTTAAAGGGGTGATGAACTGAGAAATCAAATTTTCCTTGAGCTTTTGACATCTAAGAGGTCATCATATTTTAAGAATATTCTGTAAGTTTCAGAACTGAAAACGTCCTTGTTAGTCCAAGAAAAGCTTTTATTGATACCAGCCTCAGCAAACGACTCGTTTTTCAAAGTGGGGAACTATGATGTCAAACAGGATAAAACACCACCCCCGCAGAAGAAGATCAACACCTACTTCAACACGGCCGGTTTAGCCCCGCCCACCGATTCACGCATTACACGCATAGCTAAATAACCTAGAAGCCTACCTCGTGATGACAAACAGGATCGAGCTACTAAGCGAGCAATACAGAATACAGAATTGTGCAGTGCCTGGTTGTGGAAGAAGACAGTCGCTGCATAAGCTTCCTTTGGATTCCAATAGGACTGCATGGATAAACTTTTTTTTAATGACGTTCCAGCTGATGGGGGTAAAACATTGTCCATTTATTCGCTTCATTTCACTGAGGATTTCACTGTAATCAAGACACAGATTGAGACTGGATTTGCAGCCGATTAAGATTAAAGAACGGTGTTGTGCCGTTTATGTTGGATCTGACAGGAATGGTGCAACACACGGACTCTGGGTCGAACATGGGCGAATCATTCCGGTTACCTTTTTACATCATTGGACGTTTTCAAAACAATTTCCCCTATGTGCACCGACGAGGTGAGTTGAAACTCATTATAATATTATAATATATTATCTTCAAGTCTGTGAAAATAAGCCTGCTTAAAATCATTGAAACAGTGTCTAACAGCTTATTTTTAATCTATAATCCAGCAGTACTAATTACAAACAGGTAAATATAAAGTACCTACCCCTCAATATCAAGGATGCAGAATGATGAGACCGGCTTCCAGCCACCAACAGTGGAGTGGACCCGCATGCTCCTGAACTTCCATTCGGCATGTGCAGTCGCTCTCCAGAGAGAAGGGTTGATATGAAGCGCTTTAGGCCCCATCCATACTACTGCGTTTTCGTTTAAAAAAGGAGAATTCAAACATGAATATTATCTCTGTCCACACCAGCGTTTTATCTGCGTATTAGAATGATCTCTGTCCACAATAAAACCATTGAAAACGCAGATCACGTGACCATTCACCAACACTGGGCATGCGCGTGCCAGTGTAAACAGTGGCTGACGAATCAGGGAAGGACACGTCATGACTGATGACACCCAATCATGGAGCCGAGCGTGAGCCTCTGCGTCATCGTTTGTAAACTCCTCCGTTTTGTTCGGTCTTCACTAAAACGCCCTTCGCAGATTATAAACGCAAAACGCAGCTGCAGCGTTTCTAAACTTCTCCGTTTTACGTCTTCGTTTTTTCCATTTTAGTCTGGACGGGAGGTACAAACGTAGCAAAAGGTCACCGTTTTTAAACGAAAAATCAACAATTGCTGATCTAATTCCTTTAATCATTTCTTAATGTAGTTAAAATAATTTAACAGAAGTAAACTCAATATATTTTTATTAATCAGACATATTTGTATTTTGCAAATCCAGCAAGTGGATTCAAGTCCCTTCCTATTTTAAGGAAATTTAAGATTTAACAGAGCAGCCATCAAGTGAACAGGACTTTTATTTTGGTGTGGCGACATGACGTCATAAGAGTGCGCCGTGCTCCTGTATCTGTGATTCTGCTGAAGAAAGGTTTGTGTTTTTCATTATCTGTGTGTTTAAATCAATACAACCCGTTCAAACTATTATTTTGAGAACTTTCATTAATTAAAATAACAGAATAATCAATCTAATACCAACATATCTTTTTTTATTTGTTTTTTTGTAGAGTTTATATCAAAAAAGTGTGTCTCATTTCGCTCCCTATATTGTGAATCAGTTAATTATAAACACACGGTTTTTCTCTAATAATAGAGAAACTAATAGCTTTTAGAAACTGGTTCAGATTAAATTGAATCAAATGATTCAGAGTCTGTAAGCGCTCGAATCACTGAATCACGCTGACGACTCCTGCAGCAGTTCACCAGTGTAAATGCAGCAACAACAACACACACACACACACACACACACATGTGGAATGATAACTTCTACAAATCAACTGACAATGTGTGATCCATTAAATATATTTTACAAATCGCCTATAAACATTAATTGTTTTTAGTCTAATCATATCATTTAAGTCCATTAACTCTCTCTCTCTCTCTCTGACTGACTCTCTTACCAGTGAACTGAACTACTGAACTAGATCTGATTGAGACACTCTCAGAGATTTAGTTTTGAGTGTTTTTATTTGTTAATTCTCCTCTTAAACAGGCCAGTGTGAGAGTGTCCAAACACACAGAAAAACTCCTGGTGATGCGACTGAGATCCACATGACACACTATTATAAAGATGGCGTTTATTAAAGAGGAGAGTGAAGACATGAAGATTGAAGAAACATTCAGAGTCAAACATGAAGAAACTGAGACACAAACAGGTTGGTTTCATTCTCAGTCTTTCTTCAGAAATTTTGCATCATGCATCTCTTTATCTATATATTATACATGCTCATTATTTTATAAATTAACTCATGACAAAGTTAATGACATGACACACATTAAATAAGTAAAGAATAATAATTTGCCAAAACAATTATTTTGTGTAACATCAAACCCAATCCTCTTGTGAGTCAATGAAACAACGAAATTTCTAGCTCTTAATTATCCAACAGTATCTAACAAATACATTTATTTTCTAAAAAAATGCGTCATCCTCAAAATCACTTTATATAATCAAGGTTTGTAAACTTTAGTTTCTTACCAGGGACACTGTTTAAAACACTTTTACTCTTTAAAATAGTAACTTTAAAAGGAAATAAGACTGAAACAGAGAAACTAATATTAGCGTAGACGACATCCTTCTTATGATGTACCAAGTACATCAGGATTTACGGGACGTGTTCCTGGTTCCGGCTGATCTGAACTATGCAGCTTCCCAGACAATGTTTGGAAGATTGTTCCAGAGTTTTGGTCCTAAATAGGAAAAGGATCTCCCGCCTGCAGTCGATTTTGATACTCTAGGTATTATCAACTGGCAGGAGTTTTGATATCGCAATAGACGTGAAGGACCAGTGTTGTGCAAGTTACTTCCAAACTGTAATACATTAGGTATTACTTGTTACTGTTATTTAAAAGTAATTCATTACCTTACAATATTACTGTCTCAGAATTGTAATGCGTTACATTACTCATGTATTACTTTTGAGTTACTTTCACCAAAATAACTAAGTAGAACTTAACTTTGGGGCTGTAACGATATACAATATGAAACCGAAATCGCGATTCGCCACACGACTCAGATCCACGAACCTAATCGCGACACACCTCTTCCAACTCCAGCGTTATTCTCCTTACCGTCCATATCCAATGCTGCCTTATCTTTAAATTAGGCTATTAGTATTATTTGAAGTTAACATTATAAAATACGTAGACCTACACCACAAAACTAGTTGAGGATAAATTATTTAAAATTGGTGAAGTCCAGCATTATGGACATGACACTTGAAATAAAAATAAAAACTCAGAAAATACATGTATTGAAACGTATATAGGCTACTTCCTTAAAGGACTCCAGACATTAGACAAATATCAGTCTATGTTTTATTTTTAATATTCTATGTATTTATTTATAATAAAATATTACTGAAAATTGATTAGTAATGCCTTACACTACTGCGTTACAGCAAAAAGTAATATGTTACTGTAATGTATTACTTTTGTGATGCGTTACTCCCAACACTGTGAAGGACTATAATGCGTTAAGAGCTCGCTCAAGTACTGCGGAGCTGAACCATTTAGTGCTTTGTAAGTAATCAGCAATATTTTAAAATTTATACAATGTTTAATAGGCAGCCAATGCAGGGTTGACAGAACCGGGTTAATATGGTCATACTTCCTGGTTCTGGTAAGAACTCGAGCGGCTGCGTTTTGGACTAGCTGGAGTTTGTTTATTAAGAGTGCAGGGCAACCACCCAGTAGAGCATTACAGTAATCTAGCCTTGATGTCATGAACGCATGAACTAATTGTTCTACATTTGTCAATGAGAGCATATGGCGTAATTTACATATATTTTTAAGATGGAAAAATGCGAAACTACAGATACTCGACACATGACTTTCAAATGAGAGATTGGTATCAAAGAGCACACCCAGGTTCCTAACCGACGACGAAGATTTAACAGAGCAGCCATCAAGTGTTAGACAGTATTCTAGGCCGTTACGTTTGGTATGTGACAGTAACTAGTTTTCTGTGCTGATTACCAAGCAATTCACTGAATTTATTGGTAATATTGCCACAAACTATGACCATTTTTTTAATTAGTGGGTCATTTTAATATCCACGATTGCTGTCAATTTAACACTATCGAAGGAGTTATTTTAGCATGGTCCAGTGGATAAAACACTCCACTCACACTCAGGGTCACATTTTGGATCTTGTGTTCTCTCATGGGTTTGCAATCAGCGATGTTGTTGTATCTGATTTTATGCTTTCGGACCATAAGCCAATTTTATTTTCTACATCCCTTTCTTGTCTTTCTGATTCCACTACAGAAGATATTACATTGTCTCAGTCCTATTGGTCTCAGTTTGGCTCAACTTTTAACGAGCATGATTTGGAATCCTGCTCACATTTGCTTTTGGTTTCACCACTATCTTATTTGGATGCCGACCAACATCTCTGTCTATTAAACTCTGCCTGGCTAAATGTCCTAAATGTAACTGCTCCACTTCAGCCTTATAAGCCCAAACTTAAAACTGAACCATGGCTCAACTCTGAAATCCGACGACTAAGACAAGCTAGTAGAAAGGCAGCGTGCAAATGAAAAAAGGACAAACTTCAAATTAAATTTTAGTTGTTAAAAGAGTTGTTTATTGGTCTCAGTGTTTCCTCTAGGATTTTTTACAACTATGGTGAAAAAAAGGGATTGCTCAGCCACCCTGTGGAGAAAGTTAATTTTGGCTGTCTGTATCTGGGATCTTGTCTTTTCGGTCATGACCCACTGTTCATGACCATAGGTGAGAGTAGGAACGTAGATTGACTGGTAAATTGAGAGCTTCCCCTTACGGCTCAGCTCCTTCTTCACCACGACAGACCGGTACATCGACCGCATTACTGCAGAAGCTGCAACGATCCATCTGTCAATCTCCCTTTCTATCCTTCCCTCACTCTTGAAGAAGACCCCAAGATACTTGAACTCCTCCAATTGAGGCAAGATCTCTCCACCAACCTGAAGTGGGCAAGCCACCCTTTTCCGACTGAGAACCATGGCCTCGAATTTGGAGGTGCTGATTTTCATCCCAGCCGCTTTGCTTGGCTGCAAACCATCCCAGTGCATGCTGATGGTCCTGGTCTGATGGGGTCAGCATGACAACATCATCTGCAAAAAGCAGAGATGAAATTGTGTGGTCCTTAAAACTGACACCCTCTGGCCCCTGGCTGCGCCTAGAAATTCTGTCCATAAAAATGAACAAATCTTTTTTTATATGGAGAAAAATCCTGGAATGTTTTCATCAAAAACCTTAATTTCTTTTCGACTGAAGAAAGAAAGACATGGACATCTTGGATGACATGGGGGTGAGTAAAATATCAGCAAAAGTTTTTTTAAAAGTGAACTACTCCTTTAAAGGATAAGCGATGTACTTCCCTCAGGTGTCTCCCTAATTAAAGCCCCACATACAACAATTTGCCGGAACTCTCAAATGTAACCATTTAAAATAAAACATAGCATTCAAGTTTTGCTGAAGTTATCAGTCTATACAACATTTCTCTCTCCATGTGAAAATATAACATTAAACTCAAGTGTCTAAATCTACCGGCTACATAGGCACATCCAACTGTTTACTTCATCAATGCATTGGCACAGGGAGTCAATGGGGCTGTAGTCGTTAGGCGATAGGGCTAAAGTAGAGCTGTGTGTCGTCTGCGTAGCTGTGGTAAGCTATTTGGTTCTTTTTCATTATTTGGCTCATTGGGAGCATATACAGGTTGAACAGGAGTGGTGCAAGAATCGAGCCCTGAGGGACTCCGCAAGTCATGGATGTCCACTCAGACTTATGTTCTCCCATACTCACAAAATAACCTCTCCCTTCTAAGTATGACCTGAACCATTTTAAGACTATCCCAGAAAGCCCCACCCAGTTTCCCAGCCTGTCAAGAAGTATGTTGTGATCGACAGTGTCAAATGCAGCACTGAGGTCGAGTAGTACCAACACGGATAATTTGCCTGTATCAGTATTTAAGCGAATATCGTTTATTATCTTTATGAGCGCTGTCTCCGTGCTGTGATGCGATCGGAAACCAGATTGAAAATTGTCAAAGTATCCATTTGAGCTTAAAAAGTTGTTCAGCTGATTGAAGACAACCTTTTTAATGATCTTGCCTATGAAATGAAGATTTGAGATCGGTCTATAATTGCTTAAGATGGTCTTATCCAGATTGCTCTTTTTCAGGAGGGGCTTGACAACTGCAGTTTTCAGGGAGTTCGGAAAACTCCCAGAGCGAAGTGAGGCATTTACCACTTCTAGGAGATCTGCTTCTAAACAGTTTAACACACTTTTGAAAAAAGATAAACAAACACTGTTTCCTAATTACTAAAACTGCACTTAAATCAAATGAGAAAAAGATACAAAAACACTTACAGTTATTGTCACCTTCTGTTGCTTGACTTCTGCTTTCAGAGAAATAACATTATTGGCAAGACTTTCTGAGATCACAGGTTACACAGGTTATTTGATGTTTTACATGTCTAAATGTTTCAATGTCTGTTGCTTTGTGTCAATAAACTGGTGTTAACTTGTTTTTGTTTCTTTTCACCATAGACTTGATGGCGAAAGAGGAGAGTCAAGAACTACATGACAAAGTCCACATGGGAGTTCACACTGAAGAGACCCCTTTGACTTGCCAACAGTGTGGAAAGAGTTTCAGTCGAAAAGACAACCTTAGAATCCACTTGAAAGTCCACACTGGAGAGAAGCCGTTCATATGTCCTCAGTGTGGAAAGAGTTTCACACAGAAAAAAATCCTTACTGGCCACATGAGAGTTCACACTGGAGAGAAGCCTTACACCTGCCAACAGTGTGGGAAGAGTTTCTCACTACAAGGAAATCTTAATATTCACATGAGAGTTCACACAGGAGAGAAGCCGTTCACATGCTCTCACTGTGGAAAGAGTTTTAAACAGAAAAGAGACCTTAATGCCCACATGACATATCACACTGGAGAGAAGCCTTACACCTGCAAACTGTGTGGAAAAAGCTTCACGATGAAAGGAAATCTTAAGACTCACATGACAATTCACACAGGAGAGAAGCTGTTTGTTTGTGATCAGTGTGGAAAAAGTTTCAGACATAAAGAAAACCTTAATCATCACATGAGGATTCACTCTGGAGGAGACTATTTTAAATGTCATCAGTGCGAAAGGAGTTTCTCAGACAGGAATCACCTTGAGAATCATGTAAAAATTCACACCATAGAGAAGCCTTACAAATGCCATCAGTGTGGAAAGAGTTTCACAAACAAAGCAAACCTTGACAACCATATAAGAATTCACACTGGAGAAAAGCCTTTCACCTGCATCCAGTGCGGAAAGAGCTTCAGGATTAAAGGGAACCTTAAGATCCACATACGAGTTCACACTGGAGAGAAGCCGCACAAGTGTCTTGAGTGCGAGAAGAGTTTCACGTATCACACAGACTTGAAACGGCATTCGCAAACTCATTCTTGAAAGAAACTGCCGATTTCGTCAGTGTGACGAGTTTTAGAAAAAAAGAGAAATTGTAGCAATCTTCTGCACATTCATTTGGGAGAAAGTCAATTCAATTGTGATCAGTGTAATAAAATCGTCACTCTTACAAATACAAATGAAAAGTCATGTAAATGTGAGACCCAGATTATTTTCCTGTTTAAAGACTCCCCTCACAAAAAGTGTGTATTCGTATATATTCATATACGTCTTTCAAACTAAAAGTATACTTTCAGTGTAGTTTTAACTTTCAATTACACTTAACTTAAGTATACCTGACTTATATAGCCTATACTTGTTCTCGATATTTTGATATACTGGAAGTGTAATTAAAAGTCTAATTAAGTAATTTTAGCATTAATTCTTGGCTTGTAGTTGTTTACTCTTTTGATTTAATTGCATTTTAAATAATTTTTTCACATAGTTTTAAATGCTCACATTATTTGAAAATATTGATTTATAAAGAAAACCAAATGATCTTAATTCTTAGTATGGTAAGAATTCTTAGTATCTAGGAATTTACATAAAAATCTATTTTCACTTGTATACAGTGGAGGGCGCTATTATGCATCTTCTGAAAGAGTACAGAATTTCCAGATTAAAATACAGGCGAATAAGAATCAGAAACAAGAGGGCAAACTCCAAATGGAGGTGAGCATCCCTATCCCCTACTCAAGGGCAGAGCCTTGAAGTGGGGACTTTGAAGGGAGCAGGACACTGGCGTACCATTATGTAGTTGTTAGGAACACACTTGGTGAAGGGAGCAGTGAAATGCCACTTAATTTCCTCATTACCTTCACCTGGGAGTGTTCCCATAACAAGGCAGCACGGGGTCCATCAGCGGATTAGCTATTCTTATGAAAGAAATGTCTTTTTATTGCTGTTAACATAAGAGTTGCAAATAAATATACATTTATATTCATTGGTTTAAAATGTGTTATATGTGTGTGTGAGAGTGTATGTCTTCACTCTCAAATAACTTGCCGCCTCATCTTTGGACCATACATTACCTAACAAATTTCTTACCTATGAAACTTATTTAAACAACACATGACAAAAATGTGTGAAATATATCACAAAAAACATCACAACTTGAATTTCTCTGTTTGTAAGTCAACTCGAACTAGACTTGGCTTTCTTGCAAAGTCAAAACCTGAGATTAAACCCCCTACAATAAAACAACAAAACGGACCCCTGGAGGGAAAGCGTGAGAGAAAGAACACAGGACACCTCCTTGTCCAGACGTATCTCATTGCTTATCTATGCAACCACCCTCTACCGACTCCCTTCCCCCCGATTAAAGTCACTTAGAATTTCTGTATTGTTTTTTCCTTTCATATCTGGTAGTATTTTAAATGTCTAAGTGTGATTGGTAAAATGGTCTAATTTTTTTTAAACTAGTATACTGTGAAGGATACAGAGAAGGTGGCACACGACAATCCCATCTTTCCCAAATGTGCACATCCACTCACAGCATCCAATGAACAAAAGGAATGGTTTCAACAAGGTAATTCTTATAAATACGTGTATCTCTGTGTTTTATTTTTTTGAGTAATGTATTTTATATTATATATACAATAACATTGAATAGTAAAAAAATTTAAGTTACTGTTCTGAAAATTATTTTGGGCTATTACTGACACTACTAATATTGCGGGGTCAGTGTCTGTCCACAAAATTGAACAAATACTGTGCAACAAGAGGGTTCTCAAAGATGTGAAGAAACTCAGTCATCATTTCCAGACATCTTCCCTGGAGGCATTCCATAGCCTAATTCTTCGTTTTACACCTAAAAATGTAGTGTTCCCTTTCATTGGAATGTTGTGCAGGTAATACAGAGATAAACTTGGTATTTTCAATAATATTTAAAGTAGATCTTGCCTTTAACCGGTCTATTTTGTTCTGGCAGACTATACCTTGCCGTGCTTCATCATAACGAAAATGCCAACAGGGAACAAGCCACAACATCAACAGGACCAGGGGGTTTACAAAATTGTGTTCCCGAAATCCAAAAAAGGGGCATGCATAGCACGGCCAAAAAAAAAAAAAAAAAAGGAACCAAACTTTATTACAACCAACAAATATAGAAAATAATTATTATATATGTATATATTTACATAAAAATTTCACTTTTTTTCATATAGCTTATGTTGATGACCTATTGAAGCTTGTGTTTGATGAAGTTGTCGTGGACCCCTCTCCATTTGTTGATGCACTGAAGACAATCCACATTCCACCGCCACTTTGCGCAGAGTATGACAGACCGTCAAAGGACCGTCATGTTTCCAGATTCAGTCGAGAGGAGGTCGAAAGCCAGTGTACTGTCCAGCCGGATCTGGAAATGCCTGACGTATCCGTGTTACAACACAGCACGGAATGACAACACGGACACTGCGACCTATGTAGCCCCAGCACCAGCTGACAAAGCTGCAGTATGCCACATGGCGGTACTACCTAAAAACGACAGACAAAACTCTTATCTATGTGACCGAATAAAGTGTGTACATTTTGATATGTGATTTATTTTTTAAATAATAAATTGGTGTGACAAATCTTGTTTAAATGTCGTCATTTACGTGTTGAAAATATGCAATATACAGATTTGTTTGTGATATTATTTACATTGTTTGCAGGGTTATCAAATTACACTTACTCCTCTATGGTCCTGCGCCTTATATGACCATAGTCACATCTATAGATGTTGTAAATGTTCTGATATGGATTTAGACAGTTAGGTTCAAATCCAGGATGGTGCACTCTATACATGTTGGTGGGACTGGAAGCTGGTCCATTCTTTTTGAAACCTAAGGTGAAAAAAAGTCAACACAGAACAATAATATTTATGCATTTCACACTTCACGTTAGGATTGTGCTTTTAATCTATAGCATTGATTTACATGTAATAAGTATCATATATTCATATATATTTTTAAACAATGAACTACCGCGTTCCACTTATTACATATCGGGAGTTTACGGTGAGAGTGTTCATCGCACGTCCATACATGAGAATTCAGATTATCACTACTTTTTATGGATGCCAATTGATTAAAACAATGAATTATGATCTCTGTATTAATTATCTTGAGCCTGCGGAAATGTTCCTATAAATATATTTTCTTTCCAACTGTTCCATTCTGAATAATAAATAGGCTAATTATATTTATCCACTAACCTGCAGTAGTACCATGTCTTCTCGTTAACAGCATTGTTCTCTTAGCCTACTTATATTCTATATCTGTTGAGTTTACTTTTTTAATGAATTTGACTAATAAAAAGTATGTCTTGTGTGCATTGGTGCTTTATTCCTGTCTTTTTAAAATAGTTTAATGAATGAATGAATGAACGCTCGTGAGGTGCCTACGATCAGAACGCCCACAGCGTAGAGGAGAATGACAGTCAATTTCTTTAAATATTTAATTAAGCATTTTGGGCATGAACATGTAAATAGTAAAACGAGACACTGAATGATTACATTATTTATGCCACATAAATAAATGTTCGTGTGTCCTACTGATGTTATTCATATGTTCTCCCACATTTCAGCCTTGCGGTCACTATAGTGTCCACGAACACTGACACCCTGTGGTGAAATAATGGTGTATTTTTAACAGCTTTCTCGGATTGGTTTGGTTTGGACTTAAACTTCATGTTCCGATGAGTTTTGAAAAATCTGCACACAGTAAACATCAGAATATCCCTTCATCTGTCAATAAAAATTTCCAAAATATGAAATCTTATTACAGACACTCATTTTAGGTGGCGTTTGTTAAACTCATTGACCGCAGTACATTGGAAGTAAACATTACTGGAAATAAGTGATATGTATTGTTTTCAAATGTTTTATTTCTGGAAAAAAAAAAGTGTTTTAGGATTGCAGATTCAAGAAGTTGACACTAAAGTATAAGCATGTTTATTTTAAAGATCTGTTTTCTAATTTATTTCTAATTTATTAAAATTGTATTAAAATACATTAAGTGTATATATTTATATAAAAAAAAAATATCTGCTTTATATTGGCCATCGGCCACCCTGTTCTCTGAGATATCAGCATCAGCCATCAAAAAACCAATATTGATCAACCGCTATCAATACCAATCTTTTATAGTATAAAGATCAAGATACTGTATTTACTTGATTGTGAATCACAAATGCTCAGTAGTTTAAATTATAATTGCAATATCTTGCTTAGATCTTGAAATAATTGTATGTTTAAGTCATAAGCTTTAAAAAATATCTCAGTTATATTAATAGCTTTTTAGATCTGTGATTTATCCTTTAAATCAACCATTTATATTAGTTTTAATGTGTTTTCTGTATGTGAATTTCTATGATTTTCAATAAGACTTTTATTTTGGTGTGGACATATGACGTCATAAGGTGGCGCCGCGATCCTGCATCTGTGATTCTGCAGAAGAAAGGTTTGTGTTTTCAATCATTTAAACAAGAATAACCAAAATACAATTTTAAAGAGAACTGTGCAACAAGATTTTGTTTGCGAACTAAAGCGCATCCACTAATGAGTAACAGAAAATCTGCATCTCATTTCGCTATATTGTATATCAGTTCATCATAAACACGCTGTTTGCTGTATGCCGGGTAATGATAGAGGAACGGAGCTTTTAGAAACTGGTTCAGATTCAATTGAATCAAATGATTCAGAGTTTGTAAGCGCTAGAATCACTGAATCAAGCTGACGACTCCTGCAGTTCACCAGTGTAAATGCAGCAACAACACACATATGATAACTTCTACAAACCAACTGACAATGTTTTCATCACAGTCTAATCAAATTTCTAATTTGACAAATTTCTAAATATTAATTATCATTTAAGTCCATTAACTCTCTCTCTCTGACTGACTCTCTTACCAGTGAACTGAACTACTGAACTAGATCTGATTTAGACACTCTCAGAGATTTAGTTTAGAGTGTTTTTATTTGTTAATTATTCTCTTCTTAAACAGGCCAGTGTGAGAGTGTCCAAACACACAGAAAAACTCCTGGTGAAGCGACTGAGATCCACATGACACACTATTATAAAGATGGCGTGTATTAAAGAGGAGAGTGAAGATGTGAAGATTGAAGAAACATTCAGAGTCAAACATGAAGAAACTGAGACACAAACAGGTCAGTTTCATTCTCAAGTCTTTCTTTATTCTGTGTTGTGCATCTATTTATCTATATTTATACATGCAACTCATGACTAAATGAATGGTGTCACACAGTGAACTATTTTGTGTAACAATAAACCCAATATTTACTTCTGAATTAAAAACACTAAAATCGTTTATTTCGAGCACTTAATTATGCAACAGTATCTAACAAATTCATTTATTTTGCAAATGTAACTTTATCACCCTCAAAATAACTTTATCAAATCAGGGTTTGTAATCATAGCTTTCATTACAAGCATACAGATTAAAAAACCTTTTACTCCTTGTAATAACTGCTGTAATGTAATATGCTGTTCTAAATTTTTGTCGCGTTTTTGTGTGATGGAAGCACATGGAAGCTGACAATATTCTTCATAAAATTGTTCTGCAAAACTGAACACAGTTGAGAGGACACTATTTGTCTTATATTTTATAGATGAATGGTAGTTTTGAGATCTGTCTGTAGTAGCCAGTTCTCCTGGGTTAGACTGTGGATTATAGTCCTTTAGGACTGTTTTCTTAAAGCTAGGGTATACGATTTCAAAGATTGTTCATTATTAATATCCTCGTTTAGATGCTGGTTATGGTTATATAGTACAACCCGAACAATATGAATAGAAAAAAGAACGAAAAAAATCCATTCACTCTATTGGCTGTACAGCCGCATAAAAGTTGACCAATGAAAGCTTTGCAGCCGCAAAGCTACATTGGTCAACTGCTCTCATCCAATCACCAGCTACACTTGAAACTCCGCCTGGCGCTCGCGTCTCCACCCGACCGCGCCCCCCTTCTGCGTCATGAGAATCGCGCGCGTTAGCAGCTGACCGCATATGGTAGCTAGCTAAGTAGCATATCAGCAATGGATAAAAACGAAAAAGACAACAGCAAGCGTCCCCTGCTTGCCCCTACAAGAAAATGTGAAGAATGCCGAAATTTGAGGAGAATAAATATAGGGTCCACCATTGACCGATGGATAAAGCTTCAGCGAGATCTGGGACTGAATACCGATGCTGACACTGCTGACTTTTTGTTGAGCAGGTAACGTTAAACATTTATTTATACTCTTATATGGCGTGAGTCGCGTGACGTGTTGCATAAATAGCTTTTTATCAGTCTGACAACTTGCTAATGCTGCCGGTCAACATTGGAATGTTAGCTGTTTAGCATCGCCTATCACGGGTCAAAGTTGAAGTGCTATTCACCTATATTATTTCTTGAAGTGCTTGATTATATTTCAGTATGCCTTGCGGGTTTCTGTTCGAGCCGATTGGAATTTAAACAAGATGCGCTGTATGCTGCTATAACAATTACTCAAAACCTTCGCAATACTACTAATATCATACTTATGGTGGTGGGTAGTGTAGAACATTTCATGTGTTGCTAATCTTGCGTTGGCGTGATCTCAAACATGTCATTGAATTGTTGATGCAGCAACTAAGTTCAAGTGTCTAAAGGCAATTTTACATATGATGTGTCATTAGCAATGTCATTAGATTGAAGCGACTAAGCAATGTTGTGAAAGTATGATGATCACAACTTGACTGAGTGACGTTGTTCAATTCGTTTCCCGGGAGGAATCAGGTAGCCCATATAGGGTAGCAGAGGGGAGGGGTGTGTGTGTGTGGAGAGGCGGGATGAGTTTTTTAAAACTTCCCACCCATTTCAGGCTTTCCTCGACCGATTTTCAACATCGTATACTACAGCTTTAATCTCACTTATCAACTGACCAGAATTTTGAGATCTGTTTCTCCAAGTGTTTGACTGAAGTCAAAAGGTCTTAAATTGTAAAACCTGGAACACACCAAGCCGACGGTCGGCCGTCGGGCAGTCTTTGTTCGCCGGCTGACCAAGTTTCCTATTTGTGTTCTGCACGGTTCTGTGCCGTCGGCTGAAAATAGTCCTCGCCGGCTTTGTTTCGGCCGATTTCGCCGATGTAGAATCAGCGACGGGCCGTTGGGGAAAGAGGGAATTCTGATTGGTCTGAGCTTACTGAAAGAGTCAGTGCAAGAGAATTAAAGCAAAACAGCAAGCAAAGAAGTCAAAACAGTAAATAGAAGGCTGTTCTTATGTTACGTCTTCTTACCTGAGTGTTCCTTGGCGAATATATCAATATTAACATGCGTGGAGTGGAATAAAGAAAGCGTTTAGCAGGACTGATATTCAAAACGGTAAGCACGCGCTGCTTTGTTTATGGTGTATCTGCAGCCGGCAGCGACGGTTTTCCTTTTTGAATGACGAATATAGGCTTATATATCTTCATATAAGGCGTCGGCTTGGTGTGTTCCGGGCTTGGATCTACCACTTGCAGTCGATTTGGATATTTTTGGTATTATCAACTGGCCAGAGTCTTGAGATCGCAATGGGCTATATGCACGCATAAGTTCCGCATTTGACGTAAGGATGCTCGTCCATTTCCGGTTGTGTAGATTAAAGCGGAGGAAAACCGGAGAAAACGGGATTATGGCAGAGTCTTCAATATTTACTGTCCTCCCGTCTTTGAAACGAAACGTACATACGTTTAGATGTAATTTTATATATAGTTATGTTTATTTAATATAATTTTAAAAAGAAGCATAAACACAACGAGGGGTGTCTGTTTTATCTGTTTTTATGACTAACGTTTCATTAGTATAACCATGGAGTATAAAATTCAATATAAATTCTCGGTATTGCATTGGACTCTATGATCGGCGGAAGTTATCGAGCATCCTTAATCCTTCACCGGAAATAACGCCGTGCATAGAGCCCATAGACGTGAAGGACTATAATGCGATTAGATCTCGCTCAAGTACTGGAGCTAAACCATTTAGTGCTTTGTAAGTCATCAGCAATATTTTAAGATATATACGATGTTTAATAGGCAGCCAATGCAGGGTTGACAGAACCGGGCTAATATGGTCATACTTCCTGGTTCTGGTAAGAACTGGAGCGGCTGCGTTTTGGACTAGCTGGAGTTTGTTTATTAAGCGTGCAGGGCAACCACCCAGTAGAGCATTACAGTAATCTAGCCTTGATGTCATGAACGCATGAACTTACTGTTCCGCATTTGTCAATGAGAGCATATGTCATGGGTGCTGGGATTTGTCAGGGTGTGAATAAATATAGAGCTGCGTGTCATCAGCATAACAGTAAAAACTAATGCCAAGCTTCCTAATGATATCTCCTAATGGCAGCATGTACAGAGTGAACAGCCGCGGTCCTAGTACTGAGCCTTGTGGTACGCCATACTTTTAATCGATAAGGCATCTCTTCGTTTAGTGCTCCAAACTAATAATGAACAGATAAGTATTATTTAAACCAAGCAAATGTAATTCCATTTATACCAACATAATTTAATAAGAAGAAGAAGAATAACCTCCCGTAATCTTGAGGGGTGCTCTAGTGACTGATGCTAGAGACTGCGGTGTGAAGGCTACCATGCGGACTGTCCTGGGTTTGACTCCTGTTTGGAGCTGATTATGTGAACTGCTTAAACTACACCAACATAATTTTAGAGTCTATTCATAAGAATGTTATAGTCAACTTTAATGTTCTGCCATGATGCTTTACACTTGCAAAGTAACACACACACACACATAAAGACAGTAGCTTGCACAACTGTGCAGATCGCACGCACACATAATCGCTTAGTACCACAGAAATGTACACTGTTCTATGATTTATCAACAAAATAGCCAAGAAACTGAAAAGTTCTAACATATATTTCTTAATTACTAAAACCCACAGCTTCACTGTTAGTAGAGAGTCTTTCTAGGTAGAATAAATTCACATGCAATCACTCTCTCACTAATGCTTTTATGTTCAAAATGATCTACTTTATCTGTATCTGATTATGAGATTTTTATTTCTGTGAGAAATATAGCAACCCAAAGACAAAATAACTGATACAAAGAAGCTGTAATGTAGGAACAATAGCCTTGTAAGCAACGCAGTGAAATACGCTATAGCTGTACACAAGAAGACACCTGTTAGAGTCTCAGCTCGAGGTTCAGACATAGTGGAGACTGCTTTTTCCAGTAATTAAAAAAAAAAGTGGATTTGAGATCGGACAATAGAGATTAAACAATTCTCTAGCATTAAGTTGCGTTTTTTTTTTAAACAAGAGGTTTAATGCCACCCGTTTTAGGTTTTTGGTGAATATCCTGATGACAAAGATGCATTAATGATATTAACCCTTAAAAGGGAAATGAAGCAGTGAATCAAGTTTACATGATTTACAAGATGGATTTCCAATATAATCAACAATTATAAAAGAAACATTACAAAACTGTTAGAAAAGGACAACACTTAAGGTGTTTTGACCCCAAACTTTTAAAGAGCGATTGCATAAGGAAATATACATTTTTTATTTGGAAAACTATATATCATTTTTTCATTTACTTCTCAACTATACATTTATACTGTTTTTTTGTGGAAATTTTGAAGTTTTGTACCTATTTACTACATACTTACATAACTAGGCTATAAATTGGTTCATGAAAAATATTTTTTTTAAAGAAAAAATCACTTAAATTATGATATTAATTGAATTTAAATAGTTTTTGGACATTGCTCTATGTGTTAGGGATACAATACTGCCATCTAAAGATTAGTCGAAAAACTTTATTTCTTATAGTTAAGGAATTAAAGTGCAATGACCAAATGTACCCATAGAGGGCCATAGAGACTCATTCATTTTCACTTCATTTTTCTTGATGCTTCAACTTCTCCTCACAACTTTGATATTTATATTTTGTGAATATTTATTTAAACATTTTGAAATACATAAAAATCTGTAGTTTTGTCAGAGTTAGAATTTGTTGTTTTCTTTATCTGCTTTTGCAAATTATTATACATACATTACATTTAGAACAAGATATTTTAGAACAAGAAGAATTTTAAAAAGTAAATAAACCAATATAATATAGAACAACAGCACCAATAAACTGTAATGAACAGTAGTGAAGGGTACACAGAACAATTCAACTTTTTTAT